TCTCTTATTATCTATATACACACATATATATATATATATATATATATNTTATTATATATATATATATATATATATATATATATTCGTTCACACACTGTATATGTGAGCGTGCACGTGCACACATCTATTTTCGAACAAATAAGTATACTTGTAACTGCTGTGTAAGAATAAAGGAATCAGATGTCAATCATGTCATAAATTGTTGTACTCAGGTTCTGGCATATCATAAAACGATATATTCCGATTGTAGACATATCGTATATGGATCTGATCAATTGTTAGATTTATCATAAAAACAGCATAGTTAGTTCGAAATGTCTGACATGTCAACGCACCCAGATAAAACAGAATAAGCAGATGCCAAGCATATCTTGACTACACATTACCGCGAGAATATGACAAAAAAATACATACATCAACAATGCCAGAGTATGTGGCACCTTGCGGCGTCTTCAATTCGACGTGTGGGGCGAAGAAATCGCAACAGCGATCAATTTCACCGGCATCGAACAGTTCGTGAAACTTTATAGCAACCGCCTTGTTTGAGATCATTGTCATGTATGAATCAATTAACTGGGAATGTAATACTATGTAATGTATTGAGTTAGACTTGATATATATATATATATGCTATTATGTATGTTGTAGTACTTATATGTATGTTGTGGTGCAAGTTGTACTTCTATGCGTGCAGTGCTCGTACGTAGTTCCAGAAGGCGGACATCTATACAAGCCAATGCCTTTTATTCGAGAGACAACCTAATACCCAACAATTATACAAACAGTCACTTTTAAGTTTATTTACCATTTTAGGTGGACGTCGCATACTCGAGAAATAGTGTTTACGACATTATGCAGTCGTAAAACGAGGATCACTGATAAATATACCATGGATGTTTTTCAGTTTTTAATAATAAATACATACAATTGAAAAATACAATACACCGGAAATATGCCAGATACGCAAATTGTCTCAAACTATAAATAGACATTGATCAGTGCTATCCAATCGAACTCTAATATGTATATAATCTCAATTTTTATTCGTGGAACCGATAGTAGAATCTGATAGAGTTATTGAGTGGCTTCTTAAAAACAGTGAGGAAATCCGAAATTCCCACACAGCAGTATAAATCAGTATTGATCTATGGCATTTTGGTTTGTTTTGAAATGTCTATCATTATCAACTATCTCAAGGACAATAGGGTGAATTTTTTGTTGTTGTCCAAGAGTCCACGACTGTCAGATGTTCAGGACTTTTTGTATTTACATTGTTTATATTTTGGGGGCAAAATACACTTGACATCAACGACTGTCATTGACGCTGACTCATTTAAAATCAGCAAAATGTATGTGTACGAGTTCCAGTGGCGCAAAGGGTATGTGTACGAGTTTATATTAGGCGTATAAATACACACATTTATGTGTGTGTTTACGTTACAACACGTAAATACGTATACGCATACACATACGCCACAATATACGTACAAATTAGAGGTATTTGCGAGCTAGCGATGTGAGATAGTGCATGGAATCGCGATCTGAGCGATTGAATGCCTAGACCTTTCCGGTAAGCTCAACCATATTTCTTTTGCGCAAGCACGTAGTGCATTCAGAATCCTTGGGTATGGTGATATTGACCTCTTCGCCAGTCTACACCCACCTTACTCTTATCTACAAGACTGTGAATTGGCGTGCGTCGCGTGCACTGTAGTGTGCGTTTATATGTACATATATACTGCGCTCGGCGCCTTAGGTGCCTTACATACATAGGATCCTGATGACTGGTGGGTGGTATGGTTAGTTCCGAGTGGTGACTGACTGACAGTGAGTCAGTGACAGGTGATTGCACTGATTGGTGACTTTTAATTTTAGAAATGAATAAATACAGACCAGTGAGGAGATTGAGGACGGAGGATTGAAAGAACGACCGGCTGATGAGTCATCAACGACAACAATTTTAACTTTAAATATTAAATCTATTTATGAAGGAGTGCAAGACTGATAAAGAGCCACTCGAAGATCCAGAGCTTTTATTGTTTTTGGTTTATTTTTTTTACAATATTTTAAAAATAGTAAAAATATAACCAAAAAGAAAAGAATAATAAGTACAGTACATCAACTGCCACAAAAGTGTAAAAATACATAAACGCAGAGCGGGCCCTATTAAATGCCTATTAATAAAGGCTTAAGCCCCTCCGGTTGGCCGTTTTTTTTGTGAAAACAACCAAATATATGAATAAAAATAAATAAGCGTTTACGGTTAACTTTTATGATATATTAAGCCCCACTACTTTTCTATGAGGTGCAGTGTCTAGGTGCCGCAATTTGTCTTTGCGCTAAATCACTAATTTGGCGTCTGTAAAAACACGGCCACTGGGACGGTTGAAATTGTGTGACATATACTAACTAGCCCATTTCGTTTCAAATAGGTCGAGTTCCGAAGTGCGATATATTACAATTTCGTTTGTAAATTTGCCCTCAATAAATGGTCAACCGTTTATATATGTTTACTGTCATGTTTTATGCCTAAAATACTCTGACCGTACGGCGTATTGTCGTTTTAAACTCGCAGGCCGCAGCCTCGCAAGTCGCAAGTCCAGTCGCCCAGAGCCTGAAATGAAATTAAAAAAACTGTTGGGATTTCCGACGGGGGATATAAAAAACAAAACTTCAAAACAATTTTTACGTTTATTCACCCACGTTGTACAAATTAGGAAAACGTACTACCTTATACCTGAAAACATACTTATTTTGGGCATTTTTCATCCCCCTTAAAAAATACAATTGTTCTGATTTCTGAAACCTGATAGTGATTAGCCTGTCAGTGGCTGTCCAGTGTCCACCCGTTCGTACTTTATTATATTTATATATATATATATTTATTATTATTAAATATTTTGGGATGCTGTGTCGCCTGGAATTATAACCCTATAACCCAATAAACATAAACATAAAATTTGAAATCAATAGCAGGTGCTCCTTGCTTGACAGAGTCTGACAGCAAGCAGCATTATTGTGTCCTGAAGTCCTGAACAGTGAAATGTAAACACGAAAGCGTGTAATAATAGCCAAATAAGAGCCCCCTTTACGTGAACCCCGACAAACGCTCGCAATAGAGTGTGCAAACCCATTAATATCATCGTAACATATATTACAGCACGCAACAGATAGATAAGAACCCAAGTACATAGTACGTGTATGGGTACATCATACACACTGGGCTGGTCTTGTACCAGCCGGTCGGCGTCCCTCCGTACATTCGCTATGAGTGCGAGTGCGGAGAAGGTTGCCGATCAGGGCGTTGAAGTGTTCTCCTCTCGCAAGGTGAGATAAATAGGATGATCAAGTCTTGCGTATAAAAATGTTATAAGTGGTACGGTAGCTGAAATATATACATATTTCTGGCTTCCCTTGGTATAGTTTTGTATATATGTAGCTAGACAGGCACTTAATTTTACAAAGGTATCTTTATCGTTCAATGATACTATAGTATCAATACTACTGCATATGGAAGAGAGTAAATTATGGCCATATCAAATATTCGTTTACTCTATTTCATTGTTCTGTTTATTTCTATTCTAGGTATCATAAGTCTATCATCAGAATCCTATGTTTATTATTCGTGCACTTCGGTGAAACGCTCATTTGATACAAACTTCATTTCATCTACTCGTTTAAACTAATGTACGAAGGTTTTCAAGTCTATGACGTATATATATATATATTTATATATATACATATATATATATATATATATATATATATATATATATATATATATATATGTACAAATATATATGTATATATATATATATAATACTATATATATATATATATCTATATGTATATATATATATATATCTATATAATATATGTGTGTTTGTGTGTATATGGGTGTGTGTGTGTGTGTGTAT